GCGTGTGGACCTCTTGGTGTCTGACACTTACCAACTTGGCACCGATCGGGATTGCTGTGCACGCAGGCTGTGACATGAAGGTCAAGTCTTCCGCAAGGCAGGAAATTGTTTGCAGCCAGTGGTCCGCGCTGATGCTGTACTGCGTGGCCGGAACACGGTGCAGGTCCGCATACAAAAAATGCAGCATCGCCCGCATCACAGGATATAACTGCGTGATCCAGAGGGCAAGTCCGATGAATTTTTCCAAGTCCCGACGGCAAGTGCGGGAGTGGGCAAGCAGCTGAGTGGCATATCCAAAAATCTTCTCTGCCTTAGAGGGCTGCACTGAAATAATCCCCTGCGAAAAATTGAAAGTCCAGCCAATCCAATCTACCGACTTTCCGAACGTCAGTTTTTTCCAAGCCAGTGGGATGCCAAAAATTTGGCAGAACATGCACAACAAAGAAGCTGTCAGCGGAAGGACATCCAATCGTTGCGTCAGCAAGAAATCATCCACAAACGAGTGCAAGGCGTGCTGCACCCATATCAGGATGTCCAACAATGCAGACTGTCTGATACGCGCATTTGGGTGCGCATCCAAGACCCTTCATCGTCCCGCAGAAAGCTCTCCAGGGACGGTATCCGGGTTGTCCACGCTTTTATGAAATGGGTCCAGGATGGGGTGCCTGTACCCACGGCCGGCGTGGACTGGTCTTGCAGCAGCAGACGCATGGCCCCAAAGCCCAAATAGGGGGCTTCATGAGGGCGCCTTCAGGCGATGTGATGTGGTTCTCTGAGGCTTTCACACCGACAGATTTTGATCAGCTGTCAGTGCCTGTGTCGCAGGATATGCAGCGTGACATCTCATGTTACGAAGCTCTGGCGCAAGCGGCGTTGCTCATACTGAGCAGCAAGTTCTTTCCTTCATGCAGTGCCCGGGTGACACTTCGGAGCCTGAGTGACAACACCTCTGCAGAAGCGGGCGCAAATCAATTGTTTACAACCAAGCTTCCCTTAGCCTTGTTTCTTGAGAAGATAGCATTGCTTTCAGCCACGCTGGGAATTGACCTCGATGTTTCGCATGTGCCGGGAGAGCTCAACAATGACGCCGATAGCATTTCCCGCTGGCCAGACAAGCCTCTCCCAGCTTTTTGCTTGGAATCTAACCGAATTCGCTTGAGCCTATCTGAATTATGGACGCCAGGTCCCGTTACCGCTGTTTACCCTAGAGGGTTTTCCCTACCCTGGTTCCCCTTTTCTTGACCCGTGCCGAAATTCCTTCACATAGGTTTGGGTTTCTTTCGGGCGAAGGCATTTCTTCTCTGATAGGTCTTCGAGAGGGGCTGTGTTTTCTCCCATCAGAGACGCGGGGATGGGAATTTCTGGCACAGGACAAAAGGGGACAGATTTGCCCTGCGCGCAGGGCAAGGGATGTCAACAGGTAAATGCTCACTTGTAGAACGTGATGCGTACTTGCTTCGCCCATGTTTTGCAATGTGGCTTGAACCTGTTTTGGCACATTTTGGGCCCAAGTGAGCATTTGCAATTTTCGGGCTTTCAGTTGCCCACCCTCCACTCCCTTGCGATCCCTCAAATTGATTCACTGCTGGAGCAGCGCCGCCGCGAACTCGGCATTGTTCTCTTTTGGCGCTGGGCCGCCAGGCCCCTCGCACATTCGATCGCTCCCCGGTGCGTCAAGATGACGAAGGGGGGGTCTGTGTTTTCTCCCATCAGAGACGCGGGGATGGGAATTTCTGGCACAGGACAAAAGGGGACAGATTTGTCCTGCGCGCAGGGCAAGGGATGTCAACAGGTAAATGCTCACTTGTAGAACGAACGGGGAATCATTGATTGCACGCACGATAAAATGAAGCTGGGGTCTCCTCTGGTTTGACGAAAAAAGCAGAATCTGAGCAGGCTACCTTGGGTGTGATCTGGGGTTGGGCGAAGGTAGTATGAATCCCAGATGTATCAACCTGGCTAGGTGATTCTCCGGAAGGTGAAGGTACCGACACTCCTTCACAGATTAAACATGGGTTGATTAGTTTTGGAAAAACATTAAGCCTGACAGAGCAGTTGTCCAGGTGAGGGTTACACCATCCAAAAAGGTGGGTCCAGCCATTTTAAGACACACCCACATGGCGTATTCCATGTTCTGGTTGGCCTTCGTCTACGAACAACAACCCACCAAGCCAGAGGGCTGATAGTCTAGAAACGTCGGTGAAGCTCTTTTGCGACGGACTTCTTTTCTGCGGGTCCAGCGGGAAGGAGCCTCTATGACAGGCGATTGGCTTCAGGCTTCAAGTTGCCACACGGGGTCTGTCCATGAGAGGAGCTGCCCTGAAGATGGGTTGGAGGTTGAAGCGGAATCCCACCCTGTTTTTATAACCTCGGTGATGTCGAGATTTCCCACCACACTTTTCCTGACTGACTTGCACTTGTGTGACGACTGGCCCTACAAACCTCCGTCCATGCCCACGGAAAAAAGCGAAGCAGCGGCCCGACCCCACCCCCCCTCCCCCCACCACACCCCTCTCCCCCCACCCCCCCGCCCCTCCACCACGCGCGTTTTTTTTTTCCCCTGCCTCGAAGGAGATGCAGCAGCTGGCGGAGGCGTTGGACGCCCAGTTCCGGCGCCTGAAGTTTGGGGGCCGGGCCGTGGTCATCACCTTCAAGCCCCGCGAGGCGCGTGCGCGCGGGGGCATCGCGTGTGTGTGTGTGTGTGTGTGTGTGTTGTGTGTGTGTGTGTGTTGTGTGGGTTTGTCAGAATAGGATTATTTGGACCCCCCTCATTTTGTGGGTTCTCCTTTTGGCTTCCCTTTGAACCCACTCCAACACCCTGAAGCAACAGTGGCTCAAATGGCTTCGGAAATGGGTCGCGTTTTTTGGAGGCTCGGTCTCCAATCGCCCAACCCCGACTTGGCACACATACATACCCAATGCTCGGGGGCGTTTTTGACACAGAGGCTCGCACTACCTCCCGCAGAACCACAGTGGGGTAGTGGCTTGGGGGAAGCAACATCTGAGATCCACTCCAGGTAAACCCTTCAGTATGTTTACCAGGTTTTACCGTGACTTCCGCCTGGCAAGTGGCCGCCTGGCAAGAGAAGAAGACGTATTGGGACGGGAGGTTTTTCCTGCCTGCCGTGCTGGCAAACTTTTAAACTTGCTGGAAGGTTTGTCCACGACTCTAGAAAAGGCTCAAACAGTTCAAGCTTGTTTTGGTCAGAAACAGATTGTGGTTGCCCACTTGGTTCCCGTGAAACCAGCCTCAAACTCTCATTTGACCATTTGGAGTTGGAACTTGGAGTGGCCTTCGACCCTTCGAAGAACCAGACCTTCAACCTTTCAAGCCGCGAAGACCTCCGAGCCTAAGGGACTTGGGTCGCGACTTGGGTCGCTCTCATGCTTCTCCGCTTTTTTGCGGTTCGGGAATATGAGCGTTCGCGAAGAGGTGGGATATGATTTGTTGCCAAAAGCACAGGGCACTTGAATGAGAACCGCTCGGCCGGGAGCAGGGTTACCGCGTACAACCGCCAACAAAAAGACGGGGCACTTGAACTAGCAACATGGTTTGGTACCCTTGGAGTACCGCCCTCGAGTTTTGAACCGCCAGGAGCAGGTCTTGGAGAATTGGCTGCGCCACAACGAGGACACGGAACTCCGATTTTCGCCCCGTTCGTTTTTTGAGAGGCCTCCCGTTAAATGCGGCTGACCATGGGTTTTCAGGGGTTGGAACCTCAAGAGTGGTTGGACAATTTCATCCCGACCGCAATTTGACCACTACTTCAAACGAGAACCGCCCTCTCTGGGCAAATGACATTGCGAATTCACAGAAGGCTTCTGGAGTGCAACGAAATCATTTCTGACGACTGCTTGTGTGCGGGTTGACTTCCTTTTTTTCCGTCTGGTGACTTGCTTGCTGGTGCTCAGTAGGGAATGAGGGAATGAACCCAGGGGTCCCCTTAAAGGAAACCACAAGGGATGGTTTGTAGGGGTCATTGCCTGATTCCCTACTGAGCACCAGCAAGATTTTTATACTGGTGAATTGTGGTAGTTTACTCAAATTCTACAGAGAGGGGTCAATTGGCTGCCTTTCTTCCTGGACCAGCCAGCGCAAAGTTCCATGGCTGTAGCAAATATATGATCTTTTCTATATGTGCACCCCAATGCTCAACCGCAAAAGCGCCTTTGTGCATTGCAGGTCCGGTATAGCTCAAGCTCGGGATACTGACGCCTATTTTGGGATTTCAGTTCCACAACAATAATTCAGAAGCAGAAAGTGAGACATTGGCAAGGAAGGGATCTTTCTAGGTAAGCTCGTTTCGTCCTTCCGGTGACCTGGTTGTAGTTTGTGCCGAAAGATCGCTGGGAGAATGGCCACCGTGAAGTTGCGCAAAAGCCCTTCCAGATTGGATAGATCTAGTCAGTCAGAGAACAGCAGTGACGAAAGTGACCATAAGGAACAAGTTGTAATCAAATCGCCCTTTCTTTGATAACTCTAAAGAAGGCCATCCAATGACTGGTAGACAAGACAAGCCCAAGGTTGGCTGTTTTTCTATGTTTTTCATGTCTTTTTGGATTTACTTTTTTGGTTTAGCTATGTGTTGGCTTTTTTTTGTTCTGACAAGCCCAAGGTTGGCTGTCTGGAATTACCAGCTTGAAATAAGACATGGGCTCTGAAAAAGGCCCCTTCTGTTCCCGTGCAAGTTGGGCGAAACCAAGCAAACCTGTTTGTTTCTTGGGCGAAAACCTAAGCTGAAATCCGCGTTGGAAGCCTGAGGGACGTTTTACAAGACCTTGGATAGCGCTTCCGAGGAGTCGCATGTCCATCCGGTGGCCGCAAACCCAGGCCATGGGGGTTTTGTTGGGGGGAACCTAAGTCGAAAACCATGCTGGGGGAATGAGGCAGAGTTTCCGGGTCGCTTTTCCATTATTATCATTGTTATTCTTCTTCTTCTTCTTCTTGTTATTATTATTGCTTTGTTTGACAGGACGGCTGGGCCTCGCCCTTGGCGAGCATGGTCTCGCCTGACCGCCTGGGCCAACTCTTCCCCCTGCTCTCCACGGCGTCTGGGGTGATGTTGGCGGTCGTCAGCTGTCGTTTTGGAGGGTTCCAGAGGAGTCGTTACCCTCTCGGGGTTGGTTGAAAAATAGGTTGCCCTGGTTTCAGTTTGGTTTCTTTCCATCTGGAAAAAGGGTAGCATCAAAAAGACACACCCTGGAATTGGATGGGGCTTGATGAAAAGGTCCGGCAAACATAAGATGACAAAAAGGGGAAAGCACCAAACAAGATTTGATATGTCCCAACAAAACGGTCCATAATAAAAACACATGCCCATGTTAGATTGTAGATAAGACTAAAGCGGAATCTGAACATATGTTTTGCTGTGCCCCAGATGTGTGCCAAGCCAATTGGGGCCAACCCAATTTCGGGCCAAGCCAAAGGTTGAGGCAGAGAAGCTTTGAAAGCTTGTCAGAAAACAAACTGGAACCCCCGGTCAAGGAGAAGCAAACGATTTCCACACTGGGAATGCTCGATTCGGGGGGGGGCAAGGGGGGGTGAGAAGGGAATTGCAACCATCGGTGGCAACCCATTTCGGACTTGGAGAGATGTGGTAGAAAACACCAAGTTTCTGCAACTTTGGCCAGGGATGACCTGGTGCTCAGCATGAGGAAATGAACCCAAGCTTTGGCCCAAAAGCAAACCAGTTGGATGGCTTTTTGTTGGGGTCATTCCCTCATTGTAACAAGGCGGCGGTTTAAGCATGGTTCAAACATTGTTGTCATTCCATTTCTCCTTCCCGGCGATTCTCGCGCTGGCGACTCTGATTTTCGCAGTTTCTCATGTGAGCCACGTGCTCAAAACGCGGGTAGCTGAAGGTTAGTAAGGGACAATCCCAACCATAAATAGCTGCGGATATCCGCCTTCTTGATTCTTACATGGTTCTGGGATTATTAAAATGCCATTTTTATACCTTTTCTCCAACTAACGTGGCACCTGTGGGAGGGTGCCTGGAAGATCAAGTTCCTCTTGGAGGGACCCCCTTTCAGGTGCCATGTTAGTGGGAGAGAGGGTACCGGTTTTTGATGGTGTCTCAGGTGCAGCCCTACTGCGCGGAGCGGCTGTCGGCCCCGGTGCGCCCCTCCGCCGCGGAGCTGTGCCGCAACGGGCGCGCGCGGTCCGCGGCGGTGCACTGCTTCGTGAAGATGCCGCGGAAGCCGCCCTTCTCGAGGCGCGGTGTTTTGGTCGGTCTGGGAATCCGCGTGGCTTCGGAGGAGTCAGCAGTTCTGATTTTCTAGCAAGCTCACATCGAGGAAGGTCCTTTAGGGGATCCCTTCAATCAGCTTCTGGAATGGGGCTTCGGTCACAAACAAATGTAATTGGGCAACCGGAGGTCCACCAAGGGCTTGGGGGCATGATGGACACACGAACTGTTTTGAGTCAAAACCACGCCTGTCAGGCTCCAGTCTCGGGGCAGGGGGGCGCCAGGGTTTCCCTTTTGGTTTTCTCCCAAGTGGGGATCGTTTCAAGTTGGCAACAGCCAGTAATTGAGCAACTTTTGATTTGGGGATATAAAAGTCCAGGGGGGGACGGGGGCGGCGGGAGGAGCGGATTTTTCACTTCCGAGGCTGGGCATTTTCTCCGCGAGCAAGCCTGGAGACTGGCTTTGTCCCGTGGCAAGGGAATCCACGGCGGATATGCCCCCCCCCCCCGCTTTTGGTGGGCTTCCCCAACAAAAAAAAATCGCCAGTCAACACCCAAGAGGGTTCTTTTTCTTTTTTCAGAGTGAGTCACGGAGCTGGGTGATTTGAGCAATGGGATCCGTATCCGTATCCCGTTTCTTCCAGCCGTTTTCTTTTTGGCAACCAGAAACCTCGAAGTAAACCACTGGTTGCCTGCGAAAAAGTGGCATGTTTTTGGGGGGTTTCGTATTGATGGCATCTTCGAAATTACCAGATTATGCCATAGCCAGAATGTCCCGCCACATCTTTGAGCTTTTTTGCTAGCGCAGAGATGGCACATGAGTCGGGCCCCTTGTCAAAGCTTGGCTTCTGGGGTGAGAGCAGATAGGGCCGGCGGCCTCGTCTATGGCCGGTGTGTCAATCAACACTGTGGGTGGAAACAAAGGGATGCAATTGCAACAAGGGCCCCACATCCTGCGTTCATTCATTTCACACCCTGCAACTACACCCGAATTCAAGATTGCCGCAAGCTTTCCAGGCGGTAGAGTCTAGTAGCCAAAGGGCGGGTTCGTATTGATGGCACATAGGAAGATGTTTGATTGTTCGTATAAGTTGGGAGCTTCGTTGCGAATTGGTCCAAGGTCCCAACGAGTACCAATTGTTTACCGAGTACTTTTTTTGTTTTAAAACCTTACACCCTGTCAGCTTCCAAGGTTGGGGAGAGGGTAACCTTGTCATCGATCAAGACCTTGGTAGATGAAGGTTCGGGGACGGGCCCAACCATGAAGGGCTGCACATATCAGCCTATGGATTTGGGTAACTAGACCGTTTCAAAACCAGGTGGTGATTGGTGAGGCCAAGAACCACTTGTTTAATAAGTAAACGCCATCGGGTTTGGGATTTCATTTCCAAGGCAAAGTCACTTTTTTGAACACATGTTTTTCCTTCTTTTACGCCTTCGTCTTTTTGGGCTTTCATTAACAAAGCAAACATCTTTTTAGAACGACAGATGCGAGAGAGTGGCATTTCAATGCTCGGCCAAGCCCGGGTATGAGGCGTCCATTGCCGCGAAGCCAACCTTGCTGCCGCGGGCACGTGCAGCGCCTGCCACCAAATCTGCCCCCCGTGGCAAGCAGGGGTGCGGAGAAAAACGCTGCGGAGCTTTTGCTAGTGTGGGTGGGTCTCAAAAATGAGGCTGTTCGAGCTGTTATTTTGTCTTTTTTGTTTTTCCCTCAAGTGCTGAAAGCTATGGGGCCTCCGCCCAGGCTCTGAAGTGGTTATAGCCAAATTATTCCGGAAGGATGCCAAGGGGGTTGCCGGGGATATGGGATATCAGCAGGGCCTTGGTTGATCGTGGATTTGTGCGGTGAGTGCCTCGATGTTCCAAGCTCATATGAGCAAGCCTGAAAACTAGCGACGTGCACCAATGAGAGTGTTTTTAGGAGGTCGAAGTCCCCCTTCCAAGCACCTTCTCAGGATGTTGACCCCATCTGTCCTTGTTGGGATCAGACCCTCTGGGGATCGGTATCTTAGTAGTTGGTATCCCGTTCGATGCACAGGTCTGAAAAAGCAAGCTTCAGTGGGATTACTCAATGGGGTAAAACAAAATGTATGTTCGCTGTCTCGCCAGCCTATGCTTCCACTTTGAACGTCACCCCAGCAAAAGGAAATTCTGCTTTGATGAGGGAACGCAGGGCAGGTCGGACACCACATGGGAATTTGTGCGTTATGGGGGCAAATGCTCGAAACCAAGTGGGTTCAACGGGGAAACCCAAAGAAAAAGAGCACCAGGGGCCAGATAGGCCCCAGAAGTTTTGGGTTTTGTGAGTTGCCTAAGACTACCTGCAAAAATGCCACTGGAACGCAAAAGCACACCCAACAAAACGAAGCTAGCAACTTAGGTGATGAGGGGTCCAAATCAGGCGGTGCTGCTTGATTTCTTGGGATATGTTCGGCTTCCAAAAAAGCGAGCTTTCCCAAACAACATATCTAACCCCGGAAGAACATCGAGATGGGCACAACCCCCCTCTTTCCCCTCCCCCCCAAAAAAAAGCCAGACGCGTCTCTTGCGCCCGCCAGGTGTGTGACCAGCTACGGCCAGATCTCCTCGCTGCTCGGGGCGCCCTGGACCCCCCGCTTGGTGGGCCAGGCGCGCAGAGAACTTGCCAGACTTTCCCTCCCGGGCTTCCGTGGAAGCGCCCGTTTTTTTTTTTTTTTGTGTGCCTTGTGGGTTGTTTTCCGCAAGGGCTAGGCCTTGGTGAGTCCCCGAACTGGGAACTCAGTCGATTCTTGTCGTAGATCCGACATCCGCCTTGATCTCGTGCCGATCTTTGCAGCAATCCTGGTGTAATCGTCACTCACCACAGTCCAAAGTTATGTGAAGCGCCAGGCCCTGCTACGTTTTTTTTTTGAGGGGTCACCGCGCCCAGGGGTCACTCGAAGTGAGCTGCGGCAGGCGCTGAAGAAGAACCCCTTCGCGCCAGAAGTCCCCTGCCATAGGGTGGTGAGAGGTGGGCTGGTGGGTTGGGAGTGCAAAGCTGGACACGGGGTGCTGCTGCGATAGGCAGGGAATGAGAAAGGGAATGAACCCAAGATAAACCCTCAAGCTGGTGGTTTCCTGTAAGGGGAGGCTCATTCCCACATTTGCTGCTGAGTACCAGCAAGAAGGTTTGGAGGGTTGGAAAAGGGTTGGCCAGTAGGTCTGCAGTTGGGAAGGATCGATGTGAGTGGAGAGCTAAGGGCTTTCAACCGGGTGTCCCACGTGGATCGGATCTGGTGACCAGAGGCTCGCTTTGGTTGCAGGCGCTCCAGTTAGGGGTCTTTGTCTCAAGTTTGGAAATGACACAATGGCCGCTTTTGTGTTGACGCGATAAGAAGAACCGCGGCTCGCAAGGAATCCGAAGTTCGGCTTTTAGCGCCTAATACAAGCTGGTTAGTTGGTTGACGGAGCAGTTGTGTTGGGTTTCGCCAAAAGGCTCGCTTGGGTGCACCATGCTCGGCTATGTCTCGGGCCAGAACGTTTGGACCCTATAGATGAGGCATATAAATGTCACCCACATGGAATTCCCATGCACTAAAAGGGCCAGGACACGCCCTTATCAATTTGGCGTCAACATTCACTCCGCGGCAAGGGGATGAATTGATTTCACCTCTTTAGGCAAAGGCGTGTCTGGCCAATGATATGTGCAGATTGGCACAGAAATGGGCTGGGAGGGTAAGACGCACAATTCCACCCTAGGTCTCTTGGGGATTCTTGATTCCAACTTTGGGGATCTTCCATGTGCTGAAATGATTATGTAGTGTGTTGGCTTTTGAGCGAATCTATCACTGGACACGTTTGTTTTCCGGGGGACTCAAGCAAATGGAGGGAATTATTTCAGAGTTTGCCCCCCCTTACCGGTTGAGGGTTGATGTCCAACAATGCCTCTGTAAATCTACTTGCCCCCATATTCGCCTGAACAGGCTTTGCCCAGATCATCTGGGTCCCTCGACTTGTGTCGAAATTGGGATTTGGACTCCCACCATGGTTGGTTTTTCTTTTTCTTCCTCAACTTTTATCTGCTTCGACCTCAAACAAAATCCAGAGGCGCTCATTTTTTGAGAAGGGCCAGCTACCACAATAAAAACATATTGGAACAAACCGTTGGAACAAACCTTTGGGATTCCAGGCATTTGCAACATGCTTCCACTCTAGCCACTCGGGCCCTCGAATTCCAACGCCCAGCGGACCGCACCTTGGGCGGCTACTTTGGCGCCACGGCCTTCGAGGACGAGAAGGTCCAAACGAAGGCGGGAGCTTTGGCGCAAAAAAATCGGAGCTTTGGGCACCAACAAGTGGACCTGAGCTTTTGGATCTTCCGATTTTGGTCCTTTGCTACCAGTATTTTGACCTCTAGAGGTTATCAAAGTCAGAAGCTGTTGGGTGGTTCTAGGTTTTTCCCATTCACCCACCACTTGGGTGACTTTTAGAATGGTAAAACGATGGGGCCATGTTTCGTGGCCCCAAAAGGTGATCCCCTTTTATTGAAGGTCCTTTCCAGATCCAAACTGGGCAAGTGAGGGTTCAGTATTCCCTTCAGCCACCAAATGACCATGGATAAGTGTCCCACTCGGGAAAGTCAAGTCTCTTTGTTGTTTTCCTTATTGGCCATCCCAGGTCAAGGACCTTTCGACGTGTTAAGCACCCAGCCTCAAGGGGCACGGCGCAAGCCTCGGGTAGGACGGGTTCCAAAGCCGTGGTGATCGGATGATTGGATCATGACGGGGTTGGTCTCGAGATAGTGGAACGCTTCCCTTTAAGTAAGTGCTGAGCTAGCCAGCTTCAATCTTCATGTTCCCCCGCGCGTGCCGATCCTCAGCGTGCTCGCAGCCGTTGAGGGGGTGGGAGGGGGGAGGGGGTGGGGGCTTTGGGGGGGCTGGAAAGAGCATGGGCCCATGTTTCAAACCTTGTCGATCCTGAACCCCCGCCCCACACGCCACGTGACGTGACTGAAGCTCCAACTGCGCAGTCCCATTTGCTTAGTTGACACGTCGCCACTTTGATGCAGGCGGTTTTAGATGTTTAAGTTTTAGAAGTCATGTATCATGGAGTCTGGTTTTTGCAAGGGCTTAGTCTT